CCCCTCCCCACCCTCCTCCTCCTCCTACCCCAAGCTTGATTTTTAGTAAAAAAAATACAGAATTGCAAGTAATTTGCTTTTATTCAATATTACTGAATTATTGTGCTGGTAACATTCGAAACAAGATGAATCAATCCGTGGACGACTCGAAATCAACAACAACGATATTAATACATGGTAGCAGTACTCAATGGATAGAACAACAGCACCGATTCAAACGGAGAAAATTTCCAAATAACGCTATGAGGAAAAAAGAGGGAGTATAATATAACGTTCGTCTTTTAACATGGCGCGAAGTCGATAACAACTATGTGGTTGCTGTGCGATGAATGTTTGACATTAAATTAGCTGTAATGAAAGTGTGAACCCGGCAGTCGGTCTCAATTTTGCGTATATAGTTCACTAGAATGTGTTAAAAGAACTGTACACTAGTTACGAATGACCAGTGAGGTTACTTCGAAGTGAGTATACGAAAAACACCATAGAGCAGAAAAGGTGCATTAAACTTGAGTGTTTATTGCAAGCTTGTGCATGTGGCGCAACGTGAGGAACGGTGGACGGCTCTCATACACCAACCACAAGTTGCCCTCGCACGTGTCGCTCATAGGTTTCCCGAATCTCGCGCAAAATACTCGGGGCAAGGGTAACAGATGGTGCTTGAGCATGAGAAACAAAAACAACAGGACGTAAAACGATGTAAATTCTGTTCCGTCGCCAATTTCGTTTTCGGTACGCTGCATTTCAAAAGCTCAAAATCTTGTCGAAGCGACTCATATCAAAACGTAACCAAGCGGGAAACAGCAATTACATTGTGCAAGTTAGTATTACATAACCAATAATTTTGACGAAATTATGCCACAGTGAACGGGGAAATTTACAGAGTACAAAGCTAAGTACTTTATTGATATCATACAATGCTAGTTGCAAAATCATTACTGGATTTGTTGACCTCAGAACTACCATTCGACGAGGTGAGGCTGAAATTGGCAGAATCGTCGTTTCTTTGACCAACCGCTTTCATTGCATGACGAACTGAAGTAGAGCCTGTTGAGACAGCTCGTGAAGGTTTTTGGAGTGTGCGATCAGTATACGTGTTGTCCTCGACAATTGTACCGTAAACTCCACCCCCGCCGTTAGAAGTGTTTTGACCATAATGGGGCGTATTAATCTGAGGAGATCCTGGTGTTGGTGTTTGACCATCGTAGTTGCTCGTCGACCCTTGACTGGTCAGGGTTGAGGTTGGCGTAAAACACTGCTCTTGTTGCGATGAAGAAGCGGACATTGTTGGCTGTAAAGCGGTTGTTAGCTCAGTAATACATAATTGGGATAGACGTTAGAAGTGTACTGGCTAAGGATAATTGCAAAGGTGCTCAACAATCGCCCCACCACTCGCACAGGTGCAGGAAAATATGGGGAATTGAGAATAAGTATTAAACGGAAGACTGATAAAAACGACGATATTAAAAGAAAGCACCGGGTATCTAGACCGAACAGATCAGAAGACAGTTACAAGAACCAATCATGAGATTATGAAGAACTCTACTTGATCACAACCTTATTAGAATTGTACGATGGCTGGCCTGGCTGTCCAGGTGGAGCTCGTTGAGTAGTCCACTGCGAAGGCACCGAGCCGTATACTCCACCCTTGTCTGAGGTATCGAAGGAGGTGAGCTTAATTGCTGATCGATGGTATGGAGACTGATCTCTGAAAGCGAAGAAACCCACTCGGGAGTAAAATACGAGATTTCTTTTATTTCAATATCTCCTAGAAAAGTTTTAACTGCTACTCAGAATATTACATACATACATACATACATACATACATACATACATACATACATACATACATACATACATTTTTATTTAATTCGTACACTCAATCTCATCAACTTCATTCAGAAGAAGAATTAATCCACAATTCTTGAACCGTGGAAGCGAACATTCCGATCTGGTACTCGATCGCACGTTAGGAAATTTACGAAACTGAATGCAACAAAATATAGCCGCAAATCATACTGCAAATTTAGGAATAAACTACGACACTGCTTACATTGTATACGAAATGGAATGGAACGTTTACAAATTTAGGGAAACATTGTAATATTTGCTCTATACTGCTCTGCCGTACAGCTTTGTTACGGTTGAACCGCTTTAGTGGTCAATGTTATCAATGAATCGACATCTTCAAGGACCTGTAAATAGTTTGACCTAGCGTCCCACTCTGATGGAGTTGGACGTCTCACTATAGAACATTAAGTAAGATGCCCAGGTTCGAAGACCGAACGTAGAAGTTATTACCAGTTAATTTGTTTTCTCTACGGGTTGCGCCATAAATATGGTAACAAAGTGATCGTTTTACAGAAACCGTAATTCATCCTGATACATGATGAATTTATACGAGCTATTTTATATGCATCGCATGAAGACGTAAACGAAACCAAGTGAAGACACGGTCATCTGATATGACAACTTCCTGTACTAATTATTGTTTGAGGAGACCCCAGCTACTCATCTACGGCGGCACGCAGAGTTTCGTGAGGACTTCAATTCGGGCTCCTTTCAACGATTTCCTAGAAACAGTAGCAAAGGCGTGCTTCGAAGCGCAGGCTTCCCTCTCCAGCTCAGTCTGTACCCACCATTGGATTGCGGGCCGCAAAAGACCTGGTCAATTTGAAGCAAGGATGATATTGCCAACATGTCCCCGACACCAATAATGTTTTTTCCATATGGGAGCGAATACGTGTGTTTCCAAATTGCATTCCTGGAATAATCTTTGACTCTGACCAGCACCTTCTCAGAAACGTCCCTCATGAGAATGTTCTGATTAATTTTTATACTTTTGTCGACAAAAAAAACGACAAGCGAGCGACGCTTTGATGGACAGATTTAAGCCGAAACTATCATAAAAGCGGAAAAGGGCTACGAGGAACGGTCCGACCCTCCTCAACTTCCTCGTCACTTATTGTGAGAAATATACGAGTACTTCGATAAATGAACATTACTTCCACGCTGAAAACCTTTTCGTCAAAAAAGAAAAATGGTTGAAGCGCGTGCCGTGTTTAAGTAGGGCACGGCATTTGCATTCTCTCAAGCTTCTTCTCGCACAAAAGTTCATATGACTTTCGAGACCTAACTGGATACGATTGTATCTGCCAGGAGCAGATCCAATCGTATCATCGAATCCGAATGTATTCTCATCGAATTAGAACATACACTCAATTCGGCAGTCATTTCCCTTGTGTTTCTGCAGGTTTCGTAGCGTAACGATTTCCTAGCAATTGTATTTGGTTAAGGGGCCGTAATCGATAGAAGATGACTGGCTAAGGCCAATCGATGATATTTCCACGCATTGTGGTACAAGCGACTGTCATGCGGAAATTGTCGAAAAGACGTTAATTCCCGGCGACGGACGGAATCACAGAATGCTCGCAGACGGGACGGCTGCTGGATGATTGCAAGGCTTCACCATTTTTCGAAAACTGACGAGTCGAGAGTACCAAAGCAGATATGTGAGATCACGTATATGACAGACTGAAAGAAGGTACAGCCTCGAAAAAACCCAAAAGAGGAAATTGCGTTACCATATTTATGGCCTGCATTGATGAAGCATGACTCAGTACCCTCGAGGAAAATTCTTATTCATACATAACTACGGGGCTGAAAATAGCAGAACAAAGCTTTTATGTGGATACAAAAAGGGTAACGTTCCGTCGTTTCCCAGAGAACGTGTGAAAAAAGCTTCGTTTCAACTTCCTTCTTGAGATTCGAGGGAATGATCTATAAATGGTATAAGCAGCAGATACTTCGAAAAAGTATTGTGCAGCACCTTGATGTACTGCCTGTTACCCTTTTCTTCCCTTTTCTTCCAAATCTCCAGCTTTTAAAAATGAGGAATGAAATAAATGGAGATCAATGTACTGTACCTTGATGAAGTTGTCATTATGTTGGAACTCGCTCCTTGATGCCCTCCGTAACTTCGCTCGCTTAGCATTGGACTTTGTCGAACAGCAGAGATCACAGAGGGTGTATTCTAAAAAACGCCACAGCAATTCCAGTTAAACCTGCAACGGAAACAGCTCAACAAGTTTTATGTATCGGATTTCAGCAATCTGTCTGCTGATGAGAAAAGTATTCGGGTAACCGATGAGTTATATTTTCTAAAATAATACCAGGGAAGATGCACTGATAAAGACACTTTCCGCGAGGTCGCGTTTAACACTGTTTCAAAGTTGTTCATCGGTTACAATGCAGAGGTCCTGGGATATTATTGAGGCTTCTCGAAATATGTTAGCACACTTTGCTTGAGGTCATAGCCATGGCGTGAGGACTGAGCACGACTTCAGCATTTACTTATAATATAATACATTTCCTACATTTACTCCTTCAAGACGATAGTCAGACTGAATGATATACATACCTCTCAATGAGCTCGCTCTGCAACGAGAGAACTAAGCAAAACTTTTAGACCTTGTTAGAAAGGAGTCAGATGATAGATTTCATGTTCCCTTAAGATTGACCTGTTTAACAGAAAAACTACTACACTTTGTTCAAAAATACTTTATCTGGCTTATGAGTACACCGGTCGGGTCACCCCCGGCGAACGCCGGGCTTACCTCCCTCTTATAACAGGATTACAATAATTGGCTAGCCCGTCACTCTTCTTCAGTTTTCTGAGCGTGAAATTCGACAGAGGACTAACAGGGCATGCGATGGTATTCAAAATGCGCCGATGCTTATGCCCATGATTAGAAGTCTCGATCTGTTACTTTCATCTTAAAAATAATGACCCGTTGAAGGTTCAACCTGGTGGACAACCAAGCCTTGAACGGTACTCACAAATGTTGTCGACCATATATAATAATAACACATTATCATTGTGTTTACCAACAAAACTTCCTTTTTGTGCGGATATACCATTAGATGAGAATCCAGGATTAGTAGGGGTCGAAAATTTTTGGCCAAGATATCGAAGCAAAGAGATCCCGTCATAATCTTCGCTACGTAGCATTGGGTCATAATCTTCGCTATGTAGCTGTCACAACTCAATAGCAAAATTGAATTTTCATTTCCTTACAATTTAGTACCCTTGGTCGGTTCCTATCACTGCACTTACCCTTCTTAGCGAATGAAACATATCAACGAGTCAAAGTTAGATCGTAAATAATGAAGGCGCCAGGATTTGATTGGTGAAAGGTTAAACACACGCACACACACACACATACATATATACACATACAAACATACACACATACACATACACACACCCATTCGCGTATTATATAATGTAGGATACTAGCGTTATCATGACCGATATGACAAAAACAACGAAGACGGCAAATGTATGTAAGAATTTCTCGTGACGCAATTTTGTGAGGTATTTTGTTCTGACCACAAAAATAATACTTCAGGACGTTGATGCTGATACACGAAGAGAAAATTAAACAGGAAGAACAGTCATCTTTTACCGTTTTCTGTTGAGAATAGCCGCTATTGTTCATAGCCTTGGCACTCAAGTGTTGTCCCGGCGGTATTGGTATACGTGACTGTAAAAGAGGCTAAAAATTCTGATAGTTGATCCTCTCTGAGCTTGCTGTACCTGAGGTGGCAATCGTGAATATGTGCCATAATTACTATAGTTGTTTTCGATTTTACCATAATGGGAATTATCGGCGCTATCTCTTCGTTGATACAACGCTTGTTCCTTGGCTTTGTGAATTGAGGCGTATGCTTCCTGTTGCTATAGTGCACTTATTAGATTAGATTACAAGCTCTTTCCAAAAGATTCACAAGAGCAAAATAGAACAAATTTAAAGTAAAGAGTGACTCCAATATTGTACCGTTGGCCATTGCCCTGCCGCTATCGAACGTTGCACCGATGTGGGATTCCGTTGTAAGTTGGATGTATAAGTTGTGTTCTCTCTTCTCTTGAAATCATATTTCATGAGAAACAATCTAATCATTCAACAAACTGAAGAAAGGTGTTAAAGAAAATTATGAGGGCTACCTGCAATGTCCCAAAAGTGTTTTGACCTCTGCTGTCCGGAGGTGAACCATTCGCTCGAATAGAGATCTGGGCGGAATGAGAAGATGGACCATGTGAATGTCGCACGACCTTGAATTTCTGTTTTACTACTCGAAGCACTACTTTTTTCATCTGAATACGGTGGTCCAGCCAAAGAGGAGAGCTCCGAGCTCGGGGGACGAATGGAAGCAAGAACGCCCTTCCCAAAGTAATGTATTTGAATTAACCAAATGATCCTGCTACACATAACGCACTTTGTGTAAGTTGTATGCATGTATGTACAGGGTGTCCCAAAGTTACGGCTGCCAATTTATGGCCAAGCATTTGAAGCTTCTCAGCTGAGAATGACAATGGAATCTATATGCACGTTTGCCTACATCACGTGCTACAACATGCTACAGTCACGTCTATCCCTTTTTTTTGAACTTTTTTGAGACTTGCTTTCTAGGATTCCAAACTGGGAATGGAAACCCGACAGGTCCTTCTCTAATCAGGGACCATACGGAGGAGTCAAGTGAGTCAAGATTTGGAAAGCAGGATGGATTCCTTCCTTCTTTGCTAACGAAGTCGGGCAGCCAACGTCGACACCACTCCCGGGCAAGTTGGGCTCTGTGGGCTGGAGTACCAACCTGCTGGGAGGACTGACTAACAATAAGATCTGTTTCAGGAACCGATTGGACCAGTCTTTCGTTGTGTCCTCCAGTACGGCTTCTGACTATAGGTCTTTCACAATTTCCACGCCGGCACCGACGAAACCACGAGCGTCCTACCCTGCTAGTGACTCTCTCAAAAAGATCATTTCGCTGTTCTCATAGTAGACTTTTGTGAAAGATTGCACGTTCGATAACTGTGTAAGAAACACGATTGTTTTATTTTTTGAGTAGTAGTTGCTATGTAAAAAAAATTTGAGCTAGAGAAAACGATGCAGGGATATGTGTTTCAACTCAAGCGAGTCAACAACCTGCACCTTTTCACTCTACGCTGTTTATTCAGACAGGAAATGAATTGGAATTTCTGCACACGATAGGAATGGCAATGAAGCTTCTGCATGCCATTCTTCCATCGCGGAACCTCCTATAAGCCGTGCCTGTTGACTTCTTTTGATCAGTCACCCAGGATCACGACCGACTGACAGACGGACCATCTCATGTATGTATGTATGTATGTATGTATGTATGTATGTATGTATGTATGTATGTATGTATGTAATGTGGTGTGTGTTTGGCTAGAATTTCCTGAAGAGAATGAATTCCTAAAGATCTCTGCTGTTATACAACTGGAAACGGAAGATACGATCGATCAGAACTGCCCTGCTATTAGCGATCGAGGCTGCCGCGCCGAGAATGCACAAAACCGAATCGGAGCAACAAGTTGGCGCCTTGTTGCGACCGGTGGAGGATCATATGAGGCCACTGCATATCTTCACATCTCATTCGTTGGCAAGTTCAGGAGTAATACGAAACAACAACTACGCATTACACATTTATTACGAAATAGGAATAAAAAGGAGCTCACTTCGTTGGTAACTTCGATCAAAGCTTGAATGGGCGAAGGTGGACGTAATGGCTCACCGAATTATAAGCCACTGTGTCCTCCACAGGGCGTTGGATTAATCGAGACGTTTCCGGCGTGTTCATGGCGCTATCATTCAAAGGTAGTTTTCTGAAATTGGGGAATTGGGTAAAATAACAAGTTTTGCGTGATACCTGTACGAAGAAGACAGTTTAGTTTAAACCTTGTAGTACAGCTGCTTTGGTTGCCGTTGCTTTTTGACCAATACATTTCTTCAGGTGCGTCGAAATGCCCACGTTGTAAGTGCCGTAACAGTGACTGCTTTGCTGCTTGATCATCAGTAATAAACATCTGAAGTTCTTTGCAATTTGAGAAAAAGCTCACTTAAAATGAAAAAAATCGTATAAAAAGATCTTACGTGGTCCCTCTGCATTACAATCACTGAATTTTTCAGTTGTGATGGATTTTCATTGCCTTTGATGTGACCTGTCGCCAAACCTTTCTAGAAATGTTTCATTTAATTTAATGATTTGATCGATCTAATTTAATGATTCATAAAATTACGCGCTTGAGCAATTCCATTTGGCATTGAAAGAAGCATAGTGAAGAGAGCATCAACTGAACAGCATTTACATAGAATTGCGTGCTTGAAATGGTACAAACAGACATCTTTCACATAAAGGTGTCCTAGTGCAGCAGGCTGGTAGTGATTCTGCAACTCTAAAGCGCAGTCTATGACAGCAGTTGTTATCGAGATTCCTCACCGGGACAAATCTATGGCCCCAAGAATAGTACATGGGTTACTGTCGGTTTGGAAAACGCTCTTGTCAGGACGAGATAGAGCTCAAAAATTGTTTCAAATGTATTCAACATCCGGAAGAGGACCAGTAGAAAGCAACTTTTTCCATTTGTGCCTACGGCAGCCACCTCTTCACGTGACTGCACACGATTAAATTTCTTTGAAATGCACCTTTGACACAACTTCATAATGTCGAACAACCCCATAGTTCAACTAGTTTTCAAAACTGCTTGACTTCACTAATTTTGCAGAGTTGCGAACCATGAATCCAGCCTAATCGTCCCAACTCAAAGTCCATATCGCTATCAACTACACCATCCGTTGCTGCCAACAGTACAACCGAGGACAGCTCCTATGAAACTTCCCCGCACTTTTGAACATGTTTCAACTTGTTTCCCAAGAATATCAATTATTTTCAATGCGCAGTCCACTGGCGCCTTCTACTGTGCGGACAGTCGACGCCGTGAATGAAACAAACGACAGTTATTGGGTCAAAACATTAATTTCCGATTAAATCATTATTACTCCTTTTTTGGCATTCAGAAGCTCATTTAGCGGAAACGAACCATTATTCAATACTCAGTGCTCATGCCCCTACACCATGCAGAAAAAACATTTTCAAAAAGCGTCCCACACCCTGAAAGACCTCTCTAGTAAGATAAAAAACTCACTGCACCGACAGTAAATGTTTTAGAGACCACAGAACAGAAAATATTCAAAACAATTCAAGGAAAAGTCAATAGAGGCCAGCAAAAGCACACATGCGCTAGAAGGCAATAGCACAAACGATGCTCGAACATGGGGTGAATCAAAGGTAATACTTAAACTGCTTTTAAATGACGAATGTTTGAATTTATTGAGACTGCCAGTATTTGAACAATACATGTGCAAAGTAAGCGACTACAAATGAATATGCAAACTGCACCTGAAGGGCATACATCTGGTGCACTTTGTGAGCGACGTTGAACGACCATTCCCTTTTCAATGTCAACATCAACCAGAGCAATATCCATGTGAACAGATAAACGACATCCATAATGATACACGTTAGCAACAGTGGCTTCTCTTCATGCTATAAAATTGGTTTCTTTCACAAGCTCTTTTAACAAATAGACAACAATTTAGTCCACATTTGAACTA